CCTTATCAAGCTGGATAGGCTCTAGCTCCTCTGATAGTGTTGGTCTAGTATCCAGTTCGTCCCTCATATCTAGCTCATCTAGCTGGACATTCTCGACTTCCTTCTATTTCATCGCGGTCATGTAGCACTCCCTCGCTACCCGCTGATCTCCTCAGACCACTATAACTCCATTTTTCATAGGAAACTTCATAACAAGTGATAGGCAGAGGGAATTGCCTTCATCACGTTGAGGGAGGGCCTCCCGAGAAGCATATTATATGCAGAAGGGGCATCCATCACTAGAAACCTTACTGTGGTGGTGGCCTGGTAGGGAGGATCTCCCATACTGAGGACGAGCCAGATTAAGCCCAGGGGCAATACCCTTTCTCCTACAAAACCCAACAGATGAGCACTGACCGGCTTCAGCTTTTCCCTTCCTATATCCATTTTTTCAAACACAGAAGCGAATATGATATTTGCTGAGCTCCCGTTGTTAATTAAAACTAGGTAAACAATTCTATTAGCCACAATAGCTCTAACCACCAGTAGATCATCATGGGGGTCCTGGTAGCCTTCCAAATCTGAGTCTAAAAAGGTGATAGTCGTGTCCAGCCGAGATGCCTTGGACACTGTGTGTATTTCCAGTGCTTTGCCAGCTTTGATTCTGCGCAATTGCGCCTTCCAGGCAAAACTGGACACCCCGCCCCCTGCACACCCACCAGAAATTACTCTAATTTTGCCCAGGGGTTGTTAATGTAACATAGGAGCTTGTTGCTGAGGTGGTGGACATGGAGGGGCTCAGTCTTGATTATCCCGAGCTACATAACGGCGCAATTGACCACGCTGGATCAGGAACTCAATCTCTTTCTTCAATTGAATACAATCATCAGTATGGTGGCCATGATCTCTATGGTATTCGCAATACTTTGTGGGATCTCTCTTTGTTGGGTCTGTTTTCATTCGAGGTGGCCACCTTAGAAACTTCTCGCTCTGCACCTCGTATAAAATTTGAGATATCGTTGCGGTGAGTGGGGGGAGCTTCTGAGGTGTGTACCTTGGTTGTAGCTCTGACTATGGCAGACCTAAGTGATCTTTGACATCTCCCCTCCTTTTGGGGGAGTGATCTCTGTCCCTTCTTGGAGACCTATCTCGCCCTCTTTCTCTTAAGGGACTTCGGTCCCTTGTTCTTTCCTCTTTCCTTTTGTCTTTTTGGGTAGATGAACTTCCCACTTTTGAGAGAAGGGCTTCTTCACCGTTTATGTATTTTTCTGCCGTAGCCAATACCTCAGTCATGCTTACCTGAGGGTTCTTTGAAATAGAGAACATCAGATCTTTGGATTGTACGCCCAGGCCAGCTATAAATGCTGTAATGGCAAACTTTTCATCTTGGACATCCACTTTTAGTGACTCCGAGTTGAACCGCTGGACATAAGACCTGAGGTTCTCTTGGGGTCCTTGCTTCACGTTCAATAAATGGTAGCTTGACTTCTGGAATATCCGAGCTCCTATGAAGTGAGATACAAAGAATATAGAAAGCTCTTTAAAGGAGGAGATCGAGGCCGGGGGAGCCTATTGAACCATGCCAGGGCTGGCCCTTTTAGCGTGATGGCGAAGGCTCTACAGTGCACTGGGTCTTGGTATCTATGGAGCTCTATCTGGTTTTTATAAGTATTTAGGTGGTCCATGAGGTCCTTTGTCCCATCAAAAGCTTCTATCTGCAGCATTCTAAATTTTGGGGGGAGGGGAAAATGCAACACCCCTGCGGAGAATGACGACTCAATTTGTTGTACTAGGGCATCCATTGTAACTGGAACCTTATTCTTCACAGCTTCCTTCATATAGCTGAGCTCTTGTTGGATGCCATTAAAACGCTGCACCCAGTACTTCTCTCTCCTCTTCTGTTGATAGGGGAGAAAATCATTCATTTCTTCCTCAACATTTTGACTTTGCACCTCTTCGTTGCGTCCATTCCATGGGGGTGGATGAGGATCTTGTCTCCAGGTTTGACTGTTTTCCCTTCCTTCACCAACTTCTCTGAGAGAGTCGAGATGTTGCTGCCATCTGTGAGGGGGGTTATTCTAGCCTTCTTGGGCCGGTTGTGCCTCCTCAAGGCTTTGCAAGAGCTTCAAGAGTTCTTCATTTTGTTGTATCAGACGTTGATTAACTAGACGAAGAGCCTCCAACTCATTATTTGCGTGGGGATTCCCCATGGGGGGATTTGCCCCTAGGACGTTTTCAGGCTGTCTATCGTTGGTGCTTTCCTGTTGTTCTTGCATCCGTGGTTGATTGGTTTGGGTTTTGCTCATGTTACAGGTTGAAACCATCAGTCACTGAAAGATCAACGTATTTGTTACATGAACAATCGTTCCCACAAATGGTGACAAACTGATAGTGTAACTCAATGTGATGTAAATTTATGGTAATTAGCAGATGGTATGATCAGTATCCGACTACTAGGATCTGAGCTACGAGGCTCGAAAGGGCGATCGATGGGAAATTGGGGGATTGACACAATAGAATTATAGTGGTTCACCAGCTCGAGAGCTCGGCTAATCCACTCTTTAATGGAGACTCTTTCTCCTTTTCTCTTTATTCTTCATTCAGAAGGTTTACAGGGTAGGATATATGATACTAAGGGTCCCCCTCCTTGGAAGAGTTACATAATATTTATAGGGTTGTTCCGAGTTCTATGGGATCTACTCCGAGATCCTCGCTGTTTATCCGAGGAACTCACCTTAATCTTAAGAGAAGATCTTGGCTGATCAAGGGTTTTACGCCTTGAACATGGCTCTTTGCCACCTAACAGCTTTCTGTTATCATCCAGTTGTTTCCTTATCACTTCTGCTATTGGCACGCCTGGGGGGAAAGAGCTCTAGCTTTGACCTAGGCTTTGCATGTCTTCCCTGACTCAATTTTCAGACCTGCTCGTCTGACCTACTGGTTTGACCGCATGCTTTGAAATTACTCTGGGTACTGGTTTGACCGCATGCTTTGAAATTACTCTGGGTACTATCAAGTACATGTCAAAGCAAACATAAGCTAGGATAATCAACAATATCGTTTCCAGAATGACTTGTCCAATTCACTCAAAAATCTGTAAATAGATTCCTATGAGCTTGGACTTGTTCCACAAAGTTTCCAGTATCAAAAAAAATTGGTTCAATACTACCCAAACCATCCAAGAATTTTTTTGAATCCCCTTCAGTCATTACTCTGTCATATCCTAATTTTATCGGAGTTTGATTTAAGAGTGCATTTTTATGGCAAATTCCCCTCCATAACAGTTCAGTTTCTTTCTTTTTTTTTGGTGTTTTTGGGGAATTGATGGAGCAATCACCTCTAAGGTTTTCTTTCCTTTTTTTTTTTTTGGGACATGGACCAATTTTCAATTGCTATGTGAAATTGAAAATTAACTTCTTTTTCTTGTGGGTAGCAAAAATATCCATCAAACAATAGCATGTTTTGACCCAAATAGTAAAAATGGTGAATATGCCATGGTTTTGGCATGTTTCGATCTTCTTGATGGGAAACACATACTCAGAAGCTTCCCTTGGTTAAAACCAAAATTAGCTTGAACCCAAACAGTGTTCATAAAAATGTTGGAATATTGTAGCCGATGCTGATTATACACGTGGGACACCTTTTGGGTTCCAATTTACGTGGTCAAAGAATTCAATAAGATAAACTAGTTCATGATTTGTTATCGAGATAATAAGTATTTATTTGTCACAGTATAATTTAAAAATTCTTGCCCGGGATAGAAACTCATTCTAAATTAATATTGCTAATTAGACCATAATGATAGATCTAACTATGATCTAGTGATAGTCATGAGATCTGGAGTTTTGTGAATATAAATTGCAAACGTGACATTTCCTGCAAACGGTGTCAACTATTGATCCCAAACTGTTCACCGTGAAGGTTGATCGGAATTGTGCTTGAGCCAGCAGCGGGGTTGTTTCGTTTATAAAGGATTGATCGAGGACCATCCAATCATAAATTTGTATAGAAATGATTGAATGTATTAGTATTTAGCTAGGAGTAGTGAGTAGTTAGCTAACCCCAATGATGCCTAGCCTGGCTTTTTAATAGGCCAGAAGATTAGACCGTTGGAAAATCTTCAACTACTATTTGAATGCGAGGTACCATAATAGAAAAGATGTGGTGCCCTCGAGCGTGGATATTTCAATTGGTTTTAATTAGTCATAGCATGCGGAGCTAAGGGGCTGCTAAGCTGGGTGAGCAATGAACTACAAGTTGGGCTTTTTCGAACTGCGGGGCTCCTCCTTCTGGGAGCAGCATTCCTCTACCGAACTCGTGCCTAATTTACCATTATCAATGGGAATGGTAATGAAGGTACGTGGTGGTTGAATCAGGTGTGTTGACGATGAGTGTGATTTGCGGTGGATCCATTACAGTGGGTGTGGTCTTTGGTGGTGTGCTTGCAGCAGGTTGTGGCGATGGTGGATCAAATTGTGCATGCATATTCCCAACACAAAAGTAGGATTACTAAATAACATATAAAGTTTAATTCTTCGACAGTACCGAATATTACATATGGTGAAATTTTTCATTTTTTTGGGAGAAACGGGTTGAAATTGGAACCCTTACCACTTACAGGTAAAAGTGAACCTTACCACTCGGTCACCCCGTCACTTCAAAAAGTAGAAGATTCGCAATTGACTATTACATATTGTGAATTTTCTATTCTTAGACATTAATCAAGAAAACGGGGATAAAATTGAAGCAACATGATAGAAAAACAAACGCAGTTTAAATATGAAAGTGACTACATGAAGCAAGAAAGCAAAAAAAAAAGAAGAAAAAAGAAAAAAAGAAAATGCAAGAATTGTGTTTCCACAGGACACTGCTGCAGGATATGGAAAAAAATTTCAATATCCAAAAGTCTACCCACTTATGATCATAAGCCTATCCATCTTTGATGCTTTATAGGCTGCATGAAAGGAAAAAGAAAAGAAAAGAAAAATGGATAAATAATCTGACATTGGCGTAAAAGAACGCTAAAAGTGTATGTTTATTTTGCCAGCATCCCGATTGGCAATGGAGGAAAAAGCTTCCTGTGATAAGTCAAGGGTGCCTCGGCATCCAGGTGGGGGGCAGTAATCGACAATCGTCACAACGACCGAGTTGCCGTTGCAGGGGTGGGGGTCGCCCAGGTTGGTCTCATTAAGGCAAGTGACACTATACCTTGTTCCACATGCACCACCATTGTCCCAGATTGCATCACTTGCAGCCGCAATCATCACACCATCATCATTATATCCATTACAAGCAGAAGTTGCGTCACCAAAAGAAGAAATAAACAGAGTAATTCTCTTCCATTCCTTAACCCACTTAGATGTTGTTAATTTTGAGAAATGTCTAATAGGAGTTAGTAACTTAGATTATCTCGTTAAAAAAAAAAAACCGTTTTTGGAGGAGGAGAATGGATGGGGGAAAGGACGAGATTTAAATCCACAACCACCTGAGGGCAGAAGTGAGCACTGATTGTTAATCCCGGGATTTACTCAGATATAGTACCCAAGTTTCTAAGCTCGAATTTCAGTTAATCAATACACATGGTAAAAAATATGGGTTCTTGTGCTCGAAGATTGTATTACAACTACGACGAATCAAAAAATAAATAGTTGAGATGATTTCCCACTATGGAAAAAAGTATATGAGGATATTATTTAGACTCATGAAATCAAGCTAATTGATGAAACTTGATTAGGGTATAACAACACAAAATGGGTGACATAAAGGAAGGCGAGCAAAAACTTGTCCTAACTAGTAATGGATAAATTCTTCCACTTAATATGAACCTCTACTTAATTCCTGACTTCGTCCCCAAATGTTAATTTAGCTCTTGTTGGAAAAAAACATTAGAAATAATGATACCTGAAATCTAAAAGTACAGACTTAACCAATAAGGCCTAATCTAATTAGATACACTTGATTGCTTCAAAATTCTTTTAACTAAGAGCTCTAGAAGTCAATCATTACCAAATAAAAAGATTTATTTCTTAGGTCTCCCACTTTGGGTGTTCTATAGTGTCCTCTTAATTTTCTGACTTATCTTGGGTATTTTTATTTCCGCGTGTGCATTATTCGAAAGCTAATATAGTTTATTATTCATTATAATAAACTACTATATTGAATATATATAGTTTATTGATCATTATCTATGTGTGTGTGTGTGTGTGTGTGTATAGCAGAAAAAAAAAAAAAAGAAAGAGAAGTGACTTACGAACGTAAGGAGGTGTGTAGAATGTTGCACTCCCTTCATCTGCAAAGGCTGCTAGTGGAAAGGGGAGGAAGACTAAAGCGATGGCCCGAAAGGAAAAATGGGGTTGTGTGGCCATGGCCATCAGGTAGGTAGTTTCTTTCTTAGGAAAGGTACAAATTGAAGGCAGTGAAGATTTGCACTAAACTTCCCTTTAAGAAAGAGCTATTTAAAGAAAATCTCATGCACAGTACACTTATGCATGGGTTTGACATGTGCCAGCATTGCCCGGCCAGCCGGTCCGGCGAGATTGAAAACACCAAATTTTTTAAAGTAAATTTCATAATTACAAGAAGTTCATTACTTCAAACTTTGTATTTTTTAGCTAGAATTCTTCCCTTAAAACACTTTATGAGAATATAAAAAATAAATATATATACTGAATAGCTTCCATTATTTAAAACACAATTAGTTTGAATCCAATCAAGTCATAAAAATGTTTGAAGATAGTAGCCAAATGCTGAATAGACATGTGGGACATCTTTTGGATTCTAATTTGCTTGGTCAAAATATTCAATAAGATAAGTGGTTCATGATTTGAGACCTCTAAACATTTATTTATCACGGGCTAATAGGAAAAATATATCTGTGTAAGAATCTAATCTAAACTTAATGATACTATTTAGGTCATTATTGCAATCTAGCCCTGCAGTGAGGAACAAAGTTAGCACCAGGAATAGATTGCAATCATTTAACCCACAACAGCAGCTGGAGTGTATACTCTATAGATGGGTTCAGAGTCTCATAGTCACTTATTATTTGATTGTCAATAATCTCACAGTATAAGGAGGAAGCTGATGCAATAGAGTGGACTAACATGGTTCTTAGGACCATGGAATGATTTTATAGTTGGGCAACTCAGAGGTGGAAAGGGAAAGGATTGACTGTTATGTTGCAAAAATTGAGCATTAATTGTACTGTTTTTGGAGGGAAAGAAACAACAGGATCTTCAAAAATTAGTTCAAGCATAGTGACACATTGTTTGGAATTATCACACAGATCACCAGAGAGAGGATAACTTCCCTCAGGTTCAAGTCTTCCCCCTTAAATCAATGGTTGATGGCTAAATGGCATCTACTAGCATACTTCTCTAACATTATGCCTAACATTATATTTACCAAAGAATTGGAGTTTGGAAAAATTGGTTCAGGCCCTTAGAACAACTCCAACAAGTTTGTTAAAATGCACTTCTTAGCTATTTTACATAGACAATCCTTAAATCTTATCTCCAACAGGCTAGCTATCACACTAGCTGTTTTCCATAAACTTCGTTTGGCTGGCTATTCCTGGCGAGACAAAGAAGCTCGCTACTGTGTTTTTGCACCAACAGAAAGCTTCATCGCAGACAGTGGGTTCTTCGTCAACTAGACAGAGGGTTCTTCGTCCAGTCCAGGTTTCATCTCTGCACATCACTCTGAATCAAATCGTTAACTCAATAGAAGCTCAGTCCACAGAAGGCTTCATCGTCTTCATCACAGACGTGAATTGTGGGAAGCCGGAAGAGATGAATTGTGGTAGTAGATGAATTGTGTGAAGCATGTATTTTCTTCATCGTAGAGGACCAGATCCAGTAAAATGGAGAAGACGATGAGTTGAGATTAAAATCCAGTAAACCCCCCTCCAAATCCCGTAAAACCCCTTCAAAAATCTAGCAAAACCTCCCAAAAATCCAACAAAACCCCCAAAAATCTAGCAAAACCCTCAATTCTTAGATTTTAATAATTAATAGTTAGAATTTTAGATTTTAATAATTAATAGTTAATTAAAGATAGTTGAAATGGTTAGTTAAAATAGGTAGCGTGGTTAGAGTGACTTTAAAAAAGTGGTTAGTTAAAGTAAATAGTACAATATTTAAATATATTTTGAGTAGTTATTTTAGATAGCATTAGTGGAGTTGCTCTTAGTTATGTACATATGCTAAGTATTTTATGTATTCATTTCAACTTAGTTATTGATTTCAACTCTAATGATGTGCACTACCACCTTTTTGTTTCCCCACATATTGGGCTCGGTAACTTTTGGTATTCTAATTCTAACCACATCAATTTATTTGAGGTTTTAATATTTTTAGGCCAAAAGGTTTTTGTCACGACAAGAAAGTTTGAAAATTTTCTCCTAAGTTGATGTTTGGGTTTTATGGACATTGAAAAATTAAGAGTTTATGGTAATTTCAAAAAAAATTACAAATTTTTCCCTCTTTCCTACTAGGTTTCAAGAATTGCTATAAAAATATTCTTGCTTGATATATTTGTTTGATGTGAAAGTGTCCTCTCTATATCATAAAACTCGATTCTTAGGTAATCACTTTTGTCCTTATTTATATGTGTGGGAGCTTGCAATTTTTCCAAAAACAAAAAAAAGCTTGTGATTTTTCCTTGTATGTTGATGGTTGGATAATTACTTTCAACTTCAACTCTTCATTATATTTTTTCATTCTATATCGGAAAAAATATTTCAAGAAATCTACAAAAGTGTTGAACAACAAGTAGTTAAGAAAGTAAGATTTTGTGATTCTCTTTTATGGTGAGCATGTCATGTATATGACATAACTGCGTATTGGATAGTCTATCTCTTCATTGCGTATATATTTATAATGCCAAATATAATTAGATTAGTTATTTCTCGTGTCTGAAGGCACGCAGTAATAAAAAAAGCTCAACAATCAATATATTTGTATTCACACCTAAAATAAAATCACAAACATAGAAGAGAGAGAACGAAATTGAAGCATCAATTGTAGTAAGGATGAGCGGTGGTAGCGGTGGTGAGCAGTAGTGGTGGTGGTAGAAAAACGGAGATGATTGTGGTGGGTGGCGATGATTGTGGTGGGGGCAATTGTGGGTCGCAATAGTGATAGTGGTGGTGGGTTTTGGGTGACGATTGTAGTAGTGACAGTAATGGGTGACGGCGATTGTGGTGGGTAGGTGTGGGTAGTGGTGGGCGACAGTGATGGTGGTTAGCAGTAGTGGTAGTGGGGCGACGACAATGGTGGTGGCGGGGACGATGTTGGTGGTAAGCAATGACAGGCACTTCTAGGCAACAATGTAATTGGTGGTGGAGAATGGCGGTGGTGGTAGGTGTGGTGGGGGTGGGTGAAGCGGCTGACGGCGATGGCGAGCAATGACAAGTAATGATGGTTGGCGGTGGGCAACAATGGTGGTAGTGGGTGTTGACGGTGGGTGATGGTGGTAGTGAGATGATAGTGATAGCGGTAATAAATATAAGAATGAAAAGACGATGGTGATGGATGGTGACGATGGACGACGGTGGTAGCAATCGGTGATGAGGGTGGTTGTGGTGGTGGGGCAGTGGTGATGATGGGGCTAATGGTCGTGGTGGTAGGGTGACAGCGATGGTAGTGGTGGTGGTGGTGGGTGTGGTGATAGTTGACGGAAGAGTGGTGAGACGGTAGGGATGGTGGTGGTAGGGGTGATGGAGGGACAGTGTTGGTGGGATAATGGCGGCGACGATGGTTGTTGTTGTTGCAGAGGTAGTGGTGGGGTGGCGACGGTGGTTATAGTGGTGGTGGTGGTGGTGGTAGGGTGTCAACAACAGTAGTGGTGGTAAGGTTGGTAGTATAGCGATGGTGAGGTAGTGAGGGTGGGGTGGCGACAGTGGTGGTGACGACATCGGCGGTGGTTGTGTAACAGAGGTGGTGGCGGTGGTCGTGGTGGTGGGAGTAGTGGTGGGGTGGTCGTGGTTTGGGGTAGTGGTGGTGGTGATGGTGGTGGCATGGTGGGAGTGGTGATAATGGAGCTGTTCCCAACACTACTTTTTTTGTTAATAATACTTACGTTCTAGAAGCGCTTTTAAAAATCCACCTCAAACACACAGTGGTGGTGGCAACTGTGGGTCGTAATGGTGATAGTGGTGGTGGGTTTTGGGTGACGATTATAGTAATGACAATTATGGGTGACGACGGTTGTGGTGGTAGGTGTGGGTAATGGTGGGCGACGGTGAAGGTGGTTAGTAGTAGTGGTAGTGGGGCGACGATAGTGGTTGTGGCATGGATGATGGTGGTGGTAGTCAATGGCAGGCATTTCTAGGCAACAATGTGATGAGTGGTGGAGAATGGCGGTGGTGGTAAGTGTGGTGGGGGTGGGTGACAATGGCTAACGGCGATGGCGAGCAACAACAGGTAGTGGTGGTTGACAGTGGGCAATAGTGGTGGTAGTTGGTGTTGACGGTGGGCGATGGTGGTAGTGGGATGATGGTGGTAGGGGTAATAAATATAAGAATGAGAAGATGATGATGGTGGATGGTGACGGTGGACGATGGTGGTAGCAATCATTAGTGAGGGCACTAGTGGTGGTGGTTGGGCAGTGGTGATGGTTTGGCTAGTGATTGTGGTGGTAGGGCGGCAGTGATGGCGGTGGCGATGGTGGTGGTGGTAGTGGTGATAGTTGACAGAAGAGTGGTGAGACGGTGGGGATGGTGGTGGTAGGGGTGATGGAGGGACAATTTTGGTGGGGTGACGGTAGCGGCGGTGGTTATTGTTGTTGCAGAGGTAATGGTGGGAGTGGGAGCGATGGTTATAGTGGTGGGGGTGGTGGTTATGGTAGTGGTGGTGGTGGTAGGGTGTTAGCAAGGTGGTGGTGGTAAGGTTGGTGGTATAGTGATGGTGGGGTGTGGGGGTGGGGTGGCGACGCCGGCGGTGGTTGTTGTAATAGAGGTGGTGGCGGTGGTCGTGGTGGTGGCAGTAGTGGTGAGGCGATGGTGGTCGTGGTCGTGGTCGTGGTTTGGGGTAGTGGTGGTGGTGATGGTGGTAGCGTGGTGGGAGCGGTGATAATGGAGTTGTTCCAAACACTATTTTTTTTGTTAATAATACTTATGTTCTAGAAGCACTTTTCAAAATTCACCTCAAACACACTTTTAGGATCTTATTTTTCTTATTAAATTTAGAGTATTAATATTAGTCGTCAAATTAACTTTAAAATAAAATTTAAAGATATCTCAACCGCGAAAAGTAAAACTCATTTTGTTTATCTTTTAAGATTTGAATTATATTTTATTTTATTATATAGATTTTACAAAATAATGATCAATATATAAATACTGTTTTATTGAGTTTAATCCTAC